TTCATAATATTTCATCCTCTTTAGAATATAAGGATATCAATCAAGTTCAAATAAATCAAATATTTTTAATCAAACAACTATTAGTAAATTAGGAACTATCACTGCATCTATTTCTGTTGAAAATCTCATCAATATTTTTAAAGTAACTAACTAAAGCAGGTAATGTTTAAAGTGACTAAAAATATCTCTAACTTTTTTTTAATCTAATAATCCTTCAAGTATAAATCTTTTATTAAATACAAATACTGAAAATTCTAACTTCTCTTCTAAATTTGAAACTGGAAGCAATATAGCACAACAAAGTAACAGTTAATTATATTAATAAGGATCTAATACATCCAATACCTTTAATACAGTTAATATAGGAAATACAAGATTTGAAATTACTTCAACTCAACCTATCACTACCCAACTTGCATTCAACACAAATATATTTAATATTAATACTAACTATAATAACTTTCAGATAGTACAATTATTTTAACAAATAATTCTGACATTACAAGTAATGAATCCTAATTCAGCAGGAAATATAGTTCATGAAAATTAAGCAAAATTAAATTTGGTTAAACTTACTTATTTTCATAAAATAGATATCAAAGATCTATATGAATGGCTTACTTCTTTTGAATGAGCAGCTATAGCTAATCAATGAACTAATAATAAAAAAATAGCTATTGCTGCAGGATAATTAAGAGATACTGCTGCCAAATGGTATAATGAAAATTAACCTAACTTTTAAAATTGTGCTCTATCAGAAAGCTAATATAACTTTACCAACTATTTCTTAAATTATTTCACTAATGCTACTATGAAAAATAAATAGATGACTGATTAAAATTAATTCATCAATAGCCAGAATAAAGTGTAGTTAATTATGCTTAAAAATATAAAATATTAGTCTAATGAGTTAATCCTGCAGGAGGATTTGAATAATAATATATTATTAGCAAATTTATTAGAAGATTAGTCTTATAGATCATGATAATGATAGTAAGATACAGTTTAAATAACTTAGATACAGCTATAATTAAAGTTAAAGAAATTAAAACAGGTTTTGTTATTGCTCAATCCATTCAATAGTAACAACATATATGTAAAAATATTAAGTTTTTATATTTAATAAATCTATTAAGTAATTTAGTTTTTTTGGTTCTTAATATTTATGTAATATATTATTATAAAGGTGAATAGTTTGCTTATAAAGAAGTTTTTATGTATTATTAAAATAATTTATTTCTTTAAATTAATTGAAAATATTATAAATGTACTTCTCTAATATTTTTTTTTGATGTTTTTTATTAGATAGAGACTAATTATCTAATTGTTAATATGATTATTAATAATCTTAATTCTTTAAGTGATTATTTTGTCAAACTTATTTACAGTATTATACAATGATATACTATTAAGTTTTTTAAAATTCAACAACTATAAAAAGAAATATATTTTATCTTTAAATAGTAAGATAAAAATGAATTTAAGCAATATTTTGTAATATTATTAAATATCTATATATGTTAAAATAATTAAATACTTTTTTCAAAAGTATGTAATATAACTTTTAAATATATTTACAAAAATATAAAGTTTATTATATACATTCTTTAATTATTAAATTATTATCCAATGATATTAATACTTTAGGTTATAAAGTGATTGATCATCACCTTTTATGAGTTTTGTTATTTTTAGAAAACTAAATATTACTATTTTTTTATATTGTAAATATATAATTATTTGATTAATAGTATTATTCTCTATATAGGTATAATTACTATAATTAAAGATGATTCTCATAATTATTTTCAAATTTCAATTGAGTTGCAACTTAATTATGCTATAAGAAATTTTAATTGTATCACAATTTACAACTCAATTGCATCATTTTTTAAATTATAATACTTTTTTTTAACTATAACTATTGTTTATAAAGATGCTAATTTAAATATTTAATTTATTTGTATCTTTAAAATGAGATCAAAAAAAATGTTAATACTCTTATAATTAGTTTTATAAAGAAATTAAAAGAATAAGAATCTGTTAAAAAAAAATACTGAAAAAGATACAATCAGAGATTTAAATGATATAGATGAGACAAAGAATAATCTTATAAAAATTGAAAAATTTGTTAGAATATGCAAAAGAATTATTTTAGATTGTAAAAATTTTTATATATTTATATATTTTGAAAATATATTTTATTATTTTATTATTATATTATTAGAATCATATTTAAAATAGTTAATTAATAAATATATTTTAAAGATTTAATTTTTTTATTAACTAATATGAACTTTTTAAATTACATAATTTTATTAAAAAAATTAATTACTTAGCATAAGATTCCTTAACCTGTATTCTAGATGTAGGTTTTTATCCTAGACTCTCCTTTTTCTCAAATATGATTAGTTTAAATTAATCATCATTAGTTATATATTTTTATGTAATTTTTATCTTAAAATTTTTTCACAATTTTAAATAAAATGAAAATATTTTATATTTTCATTTTTTCATATATTTTAAATAGTAAAGAATAAAAAATAACATGTATTTTTATGTATTTTAAATAGTAATAAATAGATAAAAACTTTTAAATATAAAATAATAATAAAATTATTTTAATTTTTCATAATGATTGAAAGTTTCAGTTTATGAAAATACAAAGTTTTATTGAGTGAAAATTTATTTGAATTAATACCAAAAGTCCAAAATCAATGTCAAAACTAATAATTACACTTTATTAAAATTAAATATTATCACTAAATTTTTTACTAAAAAAAACATGTCTTAGTATTACAAATAAATTCATAATTCCATAACTATTTAAGCTAGCCTCATAAAAATTAATATATAAAAATTAATACATAAAATTTTAATATCTACTAAACTACTTTACCTAAGTTTTTTTCTTATTTTCTTTGGCTATATTATTTAATTTACACCTTAATACAAGAATAAAACGCATCTTATTATTATTAATAAATACCAATAACTTTAAGCTAAACCCATGAAAATTAATATGCAAATATTTTCATATCTTATGAATAACTCTCCTTCAGTATTTTCACCTGTTTAGTTTGATTAAAATATTGAAATTACATTGTGAAATAAATCTTTATACAGTACAAAAAAACATGTTTGTTATATTCACAACTTTATGATAATATTCTTTTACACTTGAAGTTCTAAACTGCTATTGAAAATTATTTTAGCTTTATTAATTAACAAAACCTTAAAAAATATTTTTAAAACATAAAAAAGATGTGAAAGAGAGAGATTTATTACCATGCATAATAGTAAACAGTAAACAAATAAATAATTAATGTGGCTGGGATCATGATGAACCAATCAAATTTGGGGTCCAGGTTAAAATCCTAGACCCCCTGGTGCAGGTTAAGATTCCCCACTAAAATCCCAATTTCGATTGGTTGATCAATGCATCGACACCTTACTAGTTTGTATAACGGGGGACTGTCCGAACTGGTCAGAAAACCGGTTTAAAACCGGATTTAAAACCGAGTGGTTCATCCGGTTCCAAACTTTATCATGAAGGTCATAGCGTTATTTTATTCTTATCAATTTGTTATTAAAATAATATTGAAGGAAAAAGAAATTCCTAAACCCGAAGCAGTAGATCTCTGTTTTTAGCCCCAATGCGTTGATGTCCGAATTGCGCATTTGGGATATCTCAAATCTAACCATAAAAGTATATACGTGACGGTGGACACCACACTTTCTTGAAAAAAATTTATTTAGAGAGCTGTGAACAAAAAAGATTTATTATTTCTTGAAGCGTAAATGAAATTTTTTGGAAAAAACGAGCTGTTACATGAAAGAAAAAATAATTTAGAATGTTTTTGTAAATTTTGGAGCGAAAATATTGGGAAGAATCTAAAGTTATTAATGTATAATAATGTTTAGAAGATTATTATAAAGCACATTTAGACTATTTGAATACAAAAATCTTTAATAGTAAATAAATTACTATAATTCCAGATATAGTTTTGTAAAATCGAAATTTAGTTTTATACAATAAATAATAAATTTACGAATTAACTATATTTATCCCACGGTCGGCCGTTGATGATATTCATTAATAATCTTATTGATTATACATAATACAAATAGAATTACTGCATTTAATAAAAGTCATTTATTAAAATGACAATTGTAAGGAAATTGGTATTTTATTTTGTGATCAGAAGAAACTTGTGTTGTGTCAATTGATTTAGTATAAGTTGATGGACTTGACGGGTTCTAAAGGACTTTTAAAATACTCAGATGATTTTCAATTACTCCCATACTTAAGCATAATTTTATGACCAGAATGATTTGTTAAAAGACCAGAAGTTTGGCGGATTTTCCTATAAAATTATAAGATATTTGTTTGAAAGAATACGTAAAAGTAGATTAAAAAGTAAATAAAAGAAGTTTTAGAAGCACCATTGAATAATAGACAGAAAGAAAGAATATGAAGGTAAAGTAGCTGAATAAGCTTTAGCATAATAGATTTTTAATGCGTCATACCACGATCAGCCTTGATACCATTCTATTTTTTTTATCTAAGATGCAAATCTATGAATTACTATTTTCCGAACCATGGATTAGCCACGTTGTTATAGTATTACTCTATGATACACACCACGTGACAATCAGCCATTAAAATTACAAAATTTCTCAACCAATTCCTAAAAAGGAAATGAGTTATCCAAGAAGGCTACATTTTTTTTTTTTTTTTACCATCTCGAAGAATTTTAAATTATGAAACGCCAAATTATTAATTCTTCATTCAGCCTCTCTGCACGTAAATCTTTTACGCGGTAAAATTATTAACCAAAAAGTCTTGGCAGGTAAAATTCAAAAAAGGAATTATCATAGATGATCCATCGGACAAAAGTTTAATCACTTTTAAATATTTAAACCCGTATAATTTTCCATCTTTTTAAAAAAAGGACAACATATATTTGATTAAGTCCCTAACCTTTCAATATACCATAATGACGACAAAAGAAGCAAACGAAATACAAGAAGTAGATTATCTCGATAAACGTCGAGCAGCTCTTGAAGAAATTGATAATGCAAAGTTCGGTTGGTTTCATATTCGTGCGTGCTTGGTGGCCGGTACTGGATTCTTCATGGATGCATATGATATATTCGCAGTCAATTTCGCCTCTGCTATGCTTGGATATGTCTATTTTGCCAATCAAAACAATACGGTGCCAAATAATATCGATTTAGGTTTAAAGGTGTCAGCTTCTATTGGGACTCTATTAGGCCAATTGATATTTGGCTGGATGGCAGATAGACTCGGAAGAAAGAGGGTAAGCGTAAAATGTAGAGAATTTTGAGGATGAAAGAATTCTATTAATTTCCTGTACAATTTACATTAATGTTTACATTAGATGTACGGAATCGAATTGATGATTATCATTGTCGCAACGTTAGGCTCTTCTGTGTCCGGTGATGGTTACGCAGTTACTGTATGCGGTACCATCATGTTTTGGCGCGTAATTTTAGGGTTCGGTATTGGCGGTGACTATCCCCTATCGGCAATCATTACATCGGAATTCGCCAACAAAAAAAACAGAGGTGCGATGATGGCTGCAGTATTCGCGATGCAGGGATTCGGGATATTATCCGCAGCTATCGTGGCACTTATCGTAGTGGCTTCTTTTAAGAATCGTATTCAAGATGATGTTACTTCGATTGACTAC